CTGTCGTTTAGTGGAACAGACGTCATCCTCCACCACCTCCTCCTCTACCACCACTACCACCTCCTCCTCCTCCTCCTCCTCCTCCACCACCACTACCACCTCCTCCTCCACCACCTCTTCATCTTCCTCCACCTCCACCACCTCTTCATCTTCCTCCACCTCCACCACAACCACCTCCACCACTTCCTCATCTTCCTCCACCACCTCCTCCTCCTCCACCACCTCCACCGCCTCCTCCCACTCGCCCCCCGTGGCCGCCGCCGCGAGCCATGAAGCTCCAGTACAGCGTGCCCTCGGCCTTCCTGCTGCCCTTCCAGCTGCTGACGGCCGTCTACACGGCCGTCGCCTTCCTGCCCTGGTACCTGCTGACGGGCGCCCGCGAGCGCCTGGCCCGGGCCCGGCGGACGAAGGCCGCGTCCACCAGCGGCGAGCCGGCGGGCCCCTGGCGCGCCGTCGGGCGCGAGGACGGGCTGTCGAGCGCCGGCTTCGAGGACGCCCCGACGCTCGACCGCTTCTTCCTGCGGGGCGTGCGGGGACACGCGGAGAGCGACTGCCTGGGCACGCGCCAGGTGCTCAGCGAGGAGGACGAACGGCAGCCCAACGGGCGAGTCTTCAAGAAGGTGCGCGTGTGTGTGTGAGTGTTTGTGTGTGTGTGTGCGTGTGTGTGTGAGTGTGTGTGTGTGCGTGTGTGTGTGCGTGTGTGTGCGTGTGTGTGTGCGTGTGTGTGCGTGTGTGTGCGTGCGCGTGTGTGTGTGCGTGCGTGTGTGCGTGTGCGTGTGTGTGCGTGCGTGCGTGTGTGCGTGTGTGAGTGTGTGTGTGCGTGTGTCTGTGCGTGTGTGTGTGTGTGTGTGCGTGTGTGTGTGTGCGTGCGTGTGTGCGTGTGTGAGTGTGCGTGTGTGTGTGTGCGTGCGTGTGTGCGTGTGTGAGTGTGCGTGTGTCTGTGCGTGTGTGTGTGCGCGTGTGTGCGTGTGTGTGCGTGCGTGTGTGCGCGTGTGTGTGTGTGCGTGTGTGTGCGTGTGTGCGTGTGTGAGTGTGTGTGTGCGTGTGTCTGTGCGTGTGTGTGTGCGTGTGTGAGTGTGTGTGTGCGTGTGTCTGTGCGTGTGTGTGTGCGTGTGTGTGTGTGTGCGTGTTTGCGTGTGCTAACAGCACTTGCCCCTACAGTCTGTTAAGGGTAGTAATTCTAGATTTGAAGCTTTCGTGACTGCAAGGATTCATATTCTTAGGTTTTTTCGGTAAAGTCACGTAGATAAGAATATCTGTTAAGGCTATACGGGGTGAAAATTTTTTAATTAATAAAAGTAAAATAAAAATTAAACTAAAAATCACGACGTTTCGGAGGCAATGGAAGCTTGTGTTGCTGCCTCTGAAACGTCGTGATTTTTATTTTATTTTTATTTTACTTTCATTAATTTAAATTTTTAACCTTTTTTTTTATAAAATTTTACCTTTTATTTACCTACGTGACTTTACCGAAAAAAAACTAAGGTTATATGGATCTTTGTTTTTTTTTCTTTGTTGCGTGTGTGGTGGGGAGCGGTGGTGTTGTTGGTTATCGCGCTGCGCTATGAACCTGGTGACCCGGGTTCGATTTCCGCTCACGGCCAACACCAGCGACGAATATCTGAACCGGTCCCGGGCCTCTCCCAGGTCGACTCAGCCTCAAATGGGTACCAGGTGCGATGCGTAAACATCGCCATTGGGGAGACAAAGGCGGCCGGGCGTGAGGGTTGGCCACCCACCCCTTCGTGTGCCGTGCCGGCTTTCACAGGTGCTCGCTAACAGCACTTGCCCCAACAGGCTGCTGAGGCTATACGGGGGATCTTTGTCTCGTTGTTTTGGTGGTGATGGAGCAGTTGTGGAGAGATTGGAGAGTTTCCCATACCTGGGCAGTGTGCCTATGACCAGTTCCGGTTTGACAGCAGAGGTCTCGCTCCGAATCAGTCGAGCGGCATTATCTTTACATCGGCTGCGTAACGCTGTGTGGAAGCTACCTGGTCTGTCGCTCCGCACGAAGCTTCTGGTCTTCTCGGCCACGGTCAATCCCTCCCTTCTCTACGCTTGTAAAACGTGGACCCCTCTAATGGAGCATCTGCGCCGGTTAAAAACATTCAGGCTGGCATGCCTACGATCCATCCTGGGTTTGACCAGGCTGAATTGTGTGAGGAGCTCACAAATCCTCGAAAGATCTGGACGAGAAAGAAAGTCCCATCGGTGAGCTCCTCCGGCAGGCAAGGCTGCGCTGGCTGCGTCATGTAGCCCGCATGCCCAGCCACCGCATGCCTAAACAGCTTCTGTTTGGCGACGCTGGCGACGGCGGTGACGGTGGTGACGGTGGCGGTGTTGGTGTGTGCCCCCCCCTCGCCCCCCAGGTGATTCTGGGCGACTACCGCTGGATGTCGTTCCGCGAGCTAGACACTCGCGCCGAGAACTTTGGCCGGGGCCTGCTGGCGCTGGGCCACGAGGCGCGCCGCCCCGTGGCGCTCTTCTGCGAGACGCGGGCCGAGTGGATGCTGGTGGCACAGGCCTGCTTCAAGTACAACTTCCCCGGTGTGTGACGCGTGGGGTGTGACGTGGGGTGTGACGCGGGGTGTGTGACGTGGGGTGTGACGCGGGGTGTGTGACGTGGGGTGTGACGCGGGGTGTGTGACGCGGGGTGTGACGTGGGGTGTGACGTGGGGTGTGTGACGCGGGGTGTGACGTGGGGTGTGATGTGGGGTGTGACAGGGGTGTGAGACGCGGGCCGAGTGGATGCTGGTGGCACAGGCCTGCTTCAAGTACAACTTCCCCGGTGTGTGACGCGTGGGGTGTGACGTGGGGTGTGACGCGGGGTGTGTGACGTGGGGTGTGACGTGGGGTGTGACGTGGGGTGTGGGGTGTCACGTGGGGTGTGACGTGGGGTGTGACGCGGGGTGTGTGACGCGGGGTGTGACGTGGGGTGTGTGACGTGGGGTGTGGGGTGTCATGTGGGGTGTGACGTGGGGTGTGACGCGGGGTGTGTGACGTGGGGTGTGGGGTGTCACGTGGGGTGTGACGTGGGGTGTGACGCGGGGTGTGACGTGGGGTGTGACGTGGGGTGTGTGACGTGGGGTGTGGGGTGTCACGTGGGGTGTGACGTGGGGTGTGACGCGGGGTGTGTGACGTGGGGTGTGGGGTGTGACGTGGGGTGTGACGCGGGGTGTGACGTGGGGTGTGACGTGGGGTGTGGGGTGTCACGTGGGGTGTGACGTGGGGTGTGACGCGGGGTGTGTGACGCGGGGTGTGACGCGGGGTGTGTGACGTGGGGTGTGTGACGTGTGGTGTGACGTGTGGTGTGACGTGTGGTGTGACGTGGGGTGTGACGTGGGATGTGTGACGCGTGGTGTGACGTGGGGTGTGTGACGTGTGGTGTGACGTGTGGTGTGACGTGGGGTGTGACGTGGGGTGTGACGTGGGGTGTCCCCACCAGTTGTGACGCTCTACTCCACGCTGGGCACGGACGCCGTGGTTCACGGCCTCAACGAGTCGGAGGTCACCATGGTGATCACCAGCTGCGAGCTGCTGGGGAAAACACTCAAGGTGACGAGATCCCCCCACTCGTCATCCCCCCACTCGTCATCCCCCCACTCGTCATCCCCCCACTCGTCATCCCCCCACTCGTCATCCCCCCACTCGTCATCCCCCCACTCGTCATCCCCCCACTCGTCATCCCCCCACTCGTCATCCCCCCACTCGTCATCCCCCCACTCGTCATCCCCCCACTCGTCATCCCCCCACTCGTCATCCCCCCACTCGTCATCCCCCTCCTCCCCCCCCTCCTCCTCCTCCCCCTCCTCCTCCTCCCCCTCCTCCTCCCACTCCCCTTCCCACTCATCCTCCCCAACATCTCCCCTCACCGCACGTATCTCTCCCCACGTGTCCCCTATCCCCTTTGTATTTCCCCCACGTGTCTCCCCCCACGTGACCCCTAACCCCCACGTATCTCCCCCCCCCATGTGACCCCTAACCCCCACGTATCTCCCCCCTCGTGTCCCCTAACCCCGTGTCTCCCCCCACGTGACCCCTAACCCCACGTGTCTCCCCCCTCGTGACCCCTAACCCCACGTGTCTCCCCCCTTGTGACCCCTAACCCCCACGTATCTCCCCCCTTGTGACCCCTATCCCCCACGTATCTCCCCCCTCGTGACCCCTAACCCCCACGTCTCTCCCCCCTCGTGACCCCTAACCCCACGTGTCTCCCCCCACGTGACCCCTAACCCCCACGTATCTCCCCCCTCGTGACCCCTAACCCCCACGTATCTCCCCCCTCGTGACCCCTAACCCCACGTATCTCCCCCCTCGTGACCCCTAGCCCCACGTATCTCCCCCCTCGTGACCCCTAACCCCACGTATCTCCCCCCTCGTGACCCCTAACCCCCACGTATCTCCCCCTTGTGACCCCTAACCCCCACGTATCTCCCCCCTCGTGACCCCTAACCCCCACGTATCTCCCCCCTCGTGACCCCTAACCCCCCCGTATCTCCCCCCTCGTGACCCCTAACCCCCACGTATCTCCCCCCTCGTGACCCCTAACCCCCACGTATCTCCCCCCTCGTGACCCCTAACCCCCACGTGTCTCCCCCCACGTGACCCCTAACCCCCACGTATCTCCCCCCTCGTGTCCTCTAACCCCACATATCTCCCCCCTCGTGACCCCTAACCCCCACGTATCTCCCCCCTCGTGACCCCTAACCCCCACGTATCTCCCCGCACGTGACCCCTAACCCCCACGTATCTCCCCGCACGTGACCCCTAACCCCACGTGTCTCCCCCCACGTGACCCCTAACCCCCACGTATCTCCCCCCTTGTGACCCCTAACCCCACGTATCTCCCCCCACGTGACCCCTAACCCCCACGTATCTCCCCCCACGTGACCCCTAACCCCCACGTGTCTCCCCCCACGTGACCCCTAACCCCACGTGTCTCCCCCCTTGTGACCCCTAACCCCACGTGTCTCCCCCCACGTGACCCCTAACCCCCACGTGTCTCCCCCCACGTGACCCCTAACCCCACGTGTCTCCCCCCTTGTGACCCCTAACCCCCACGTATCTCCCCCCTTGTGACCCCTAACCCCACGTATCTCCCCCCTCGTGACCCCTAACCCCCACGTATCTCCCCCCTCGTGACCCCTAACCCCACGTGTCTCCCCCCACGTGACCCCTAACCCCCACGTATCTCCCCCCTCGTGACCCCTAACCCCCACGTATCTCCCCCCTCGTGACCCCTAACCCCACGTATCTCCCCCCTCGTGACCCCTAACCCCCACGTATCTCCCCCCTTGTGACCCCTAACCCCCACGTATCTCCCCCCTCATGACCCCTAACCCCCACGTATCTCCCCCCTCGTGACCCCTAACCCCACGTGTCTCCCCCCTCGTGACCCCTAACCCCCACGTATCTCCCCCCTCGTGTCCCCTAACCCCACGTGTCTCCCCCCTCGTGTCCCCTAACCCCCACGTATCTCCCCCCTCGTGACCCCTAACCCCACGTATCTCCCCCCTCGTGACCCCTAACCCGACGTATCTCCCCCCTCGTGACCCCTAACCCCACGTGTCTCCCCCCTCGTGACCCCTAACCCCCACGTGTCTCCCCCCACGTGACCCCTAACCCCACGTATCTCCCCCCTCGTGACCGCTAACCCCACGTATCTCCCCCCTCATGACCCCTAACCCCCACGTATCTCCCCCCTTGTGACCCCTAACCCCCACGTATCTCCCCCCTTGTGACCCCTAACCCCCACGTATCTCCCCCCTTGTGACCCCTAACCCCCACGTATCTCCCCCCTTGTGACCCCTAACCCCCACGTATCTCCCCCCTCGTGACCCCTAACCCCCACGTATCTCCCCCCTTGTGACCCCTAACCCCCACGTATCTCCCCCCTTGTGACCCCTAACCCCCACGTATCTCCCCCCTCGTGACCCCTAACCCCCACGTATCTCCCCCCTTGTGACCCCTAACCCCCACGTATCTCCCCCCTTGTGACCCCTAACCCCCACGTATCTCCCCCCTTGTGACCCCTAACCCCCACGTATCTCCCCCCTCGTGACCCCTAACCCCCTCGTATCTCCCCCCTTGTGACCCCTACCCCCACGTATCTCCCCCCTCGTGACCCCTAACCCCCACATATCTCCCCCCTCGTGACCCCTAACCCCCACGTATCTCCCCCCTCGTGTCCCCTAACCCCCACGTGTCTCCCCCCACGTGACCCCTAACCCCACGTGTCTCCCCCACGTGACCCCTAACCCCACGTGTCTCCCCCCACGTGACCCCTCACCCCACGTGTCTCCCCCCTCGTGACCCCTAACCCCCACGTATCTCCCCCCTCGTGACCCCTAACCCCCACGTGTCTCCCCCCACGTGACCCCTAACCCCACGTGTCTCCCCCCTTGTGACCCCTAACCCCCACGTATCTCCCCCCTTGTGACCCCTAACCCCACGTATCTCCCCCCTCGTGACCCCTAACCCCACGTGTCTCCCCCCTCGTGACCCCTAACCCCCACGTGTCTCCCCCCACGTGACCCCTAACCCCCACGTGTCTCCCCCCACGTGACCCCTAACCCCCACGTGGCTCCCCCCACGTGACCCCTAACCCCCAGGTGTCTCCCCCCTCGTGTCCCCTAACCCCACGTATCTCCCCCCTCGTGACCCCTAACCCCCACGTATCTCCCCCCTCGTGTCCCCTAACCCCACGTATCTCCCCGCACGTGTCCCCTAACCCCACGTATCTCCCCCCTCGTGACCCCTAACCCCCACGTATCTCCCCCCTCGTGACCCCTAACCCCACGTATCTCCCCCCACGTGACCCCTAACCCCACGTGTCTCCCCCCACGTGACCCCTAACCCCACGTGTCTCCCCCCACGTGACCCCTAACCCCATGTGTCTCCCCCCTCGTGTCCCCTAACCCCCACGTATCTCCCCCCTCGTGACCCCTAACCCCACGTATCTCCCCCCTCGTGACCCCTAACCCCCACGTATCTCCCCCCTCGTGACCCCTAACCCCACGTGTCTCCCCCCTCGTGACCCCTAACCCCCACGTATCTCCCCCCTCGTGACCCCTCCCCCCCCGTTTCTCCCCCCCCGTAACCCCTACCCCCCACGTGTCTCCCCCCTCGTGACCCCTAACCCCACGTATCTCCCCCCTCGTGACCCCTAACCCCCACGTATCTCCCCCCTCGTGACCCCTAACCCCCACGTATCTCCCCCCTCGTGACCCCTAACCCCACGTGTCTCCCCCACGTGACCCCTAACCCCGTGTATCCCCCCCCCCGCCCCCCAGGGCGTGCTCTCCCGCATGCCGCGCGTCACCCACATCGTGCACGTGGACCCCCGCCCCCCCCCCACGCGGAGGGGAGGGGGGGCGGGGGGTGGCCCCCCCTCGTCGCCCGGGGGCTGGGACCCCACCCCGCCCCCCCCCGGGGTGTCGCTGCTCAGCCTGGAGCACGTGGAGAGCCTGGGGGAGCAGAACCCACAGAGTGAGCGCCACCACCGCCGCCACTGTCACCACCACCACCACAACCACAACCACCACCGCTACCACAACCACCACCACCGCTACCACCACCACCACCACAACCACCACCACAGCCAGAGTGAGCGCCACGCACGGCAAACACCGCCGGCAAACACCGCCGCCACTGTCACCACGATCACTACCACCGCTACCACCACCAACACCACCACAACTATGACCACCACCACCACAGCCAGAGTGAGCGCCACGCACGGCAAACACCGCCGCCACTGTCACCACCACCGCCACCACCACCACGACCACAACCACAACCACCACCACCGCCACCACCACCACCGCTACCACCACGACCACCACCACAACCACCGCTATGACCACGTCCACCACCACTATGACGACCACAACCACCACCAGAACCACCACCACGACCACAACGACCACCACCACGACCACAACGACCACAACCACCACAACTACCACCACAACCACCACCACTATGACCACTGCCACCAGCACGACCTCTACCACCACCACGACCGCCACCACTTGCATCACCACCACTTGCATCACCACCACCATGACCACCACGACCACCACCAACCACCATTGCCACCACAACCACAACCACCATTACCATTACCACCACCATGATGATGTTGCTCCTGCTGATGATGATGATGTTGATGATGATGATGCTGCTGATGATGATGATGGTGCTGCTGATGATGATGTCGCTGATGATGATGTTGTTGGTAGTGGCTGAGCGACGCTGCCCGCCCGTGCCCTCTGACCTGGCCGTGGTGATGATGATGATGTTGCTGCTGCTGCTGATGATGATGCTGCTGCTGATGATGTTGATGATGTTGCTGATGATGCTGTTGTTGCTGCTGATGATGATGTTGCTGATGATGATGTTGCTGATGATGATGCTGCTGATGATGATGTTGTTGGTAGTGGCTGAGCGACGCTGCCCGCCCGTGCCCTCTGACCTGGCCGTGGTGATGATGATGATGTTGCTGCTGCTGCTGCTGATGATGATGCTGCTGCTGATGATGTTGATGATGTTGCTGATGATGCTGTTGTTGCCGATGATCATGCTGCTGTTGCTGATGATGATGTTGCTGATGATGATGTTGCTGCTGATGATGATGTTGATGCTGATGATGATGCTGCTGATGTTGCTGATGATGATGCTGCTGATGATGATGATGCTTCTGATGATGATGCTCCTGATGATGTTGTTGGTAGTGGCGGAGAGACGCTGCCCGCCCGTGCCCTCTAACCTGACCATGGTGATGATGATGATTCTGCTGATGATGATGATGCTGATGATGATGATGCTGCTGATGATGTTGTTGGCAGTGGCGGAGAGACGCTGCCCGCCCGTGCCCTCTGACCTGGCCGTGGTGATGATGATGTTGCTGCTGATGATGGTGCTGCTGCTGATGATGCTGATGCTGATGATGATGATGCTGCTGATGATGTTGTTGGCAGTGGCTGAGAGACGCTGCCCGCCCGTGCCCTCTGACCTGGCCGTGGTGATGATGATGTTGCTGCTGCTGATGATGATGTTGCTGATGATGATGTTGTTGGTAGTGGCTGAGAGACGCTGCCCGCCCGTGCCCTCTGACCTGGCCGTGGTGCTGATGATGATGTTGCTGCCGATGATGTTGCTGCTGATGATGTTGCTGCTGATGATGTTGTTGGCAGTGGCTGAGAGACGCTGCCCGCCCGTGCCCTCTGACCTGGCCGTGGTGATGATGATGTTGCTGCTGCTGATGATGATGCTGCTGCTGATTATGTTGCTGATGATGATGCTGCTGCTGATGCTGCTGATGATGATGATGTTGTTGCTGATGATGTTGCTGATGCTGATGCTGCTGATGATGATGATTTTGTTGCTGATGATGTTGCTGATGCTGATGTTGTTGCTGATGATGTTGTTGGTAGTGGCTGAGCGACGCTGCCCGCCCGTGCCCTCTGACCTGGCCGTGGTGATGATGATGATGCTGCTGATGATGCTGCTGATGATGATGTTGCTACTGATGTTGATGTTGCTGATGATGGTGTTGCTGATGATTATGTTGCTGCTGATGTTGATGTTGCTGATGATGATGTTGCTGATGATTATGTTGCTGCTGATGATGTTGTTGGCAGTGGCTGAGAGACGCTGCCCGCCCGTGCCCTCTGACCTGGGTGTGGTGATGATGATGTTCCTGCTGATGATGCTGCTGATGATGATGTTGCTACTGATGTTGATGTTGCTGATGATGGTGTTGCTGATGATGTTGGTAGTGGCGGAGAGACGCTGCCCGCCCGTGCCCTCTGACCTGGCCGTGGTGATGTACACGAGCGGCTCCACGGGGCTGCCCAAGGGGGTGATGATGTCGCACGCCAACCTCATCGCGGGCATGTCCGGCCAGTGCGAGAAGATACCCGACCTCGGGTGAGTGGTGAGAGTGTGGGTGAGAGTGTGGTGAGGGTGGTGAGGGGTGGGGGTGTGGTGAGTGTGGTGAGAGTGTGGTGAGAGGGTGGTGAGAGTGTGGTGAGAGGGTAGTGAGAGTGTGGTGAGAGTGTGGTGAGGGTGTGGTGAGTGTGGGTGAGTGTGGGTGAGTGTGGTGAGTGTGTGGGTGTGTGGGTGAGAGTGTGGTGAGGGTGGTGAGAGTGGGTGAGTGTGGGTGAGTGTGGGTGTGGGTGAGTGGTGGGGGTGTGGTGAGTGTGGTGAGTGTGGTGAGTGTGGTGAGTGTGGGTGAGTGTGGGTGAGTGTGGTGAGTGTGGGTGTGGGTGAGTGTGGGTGTGGGTGAGTGGTGGGGGTGTGGTGAGTGTGGTGAGTGTGGTGAGTGTGGTGAGTGTGGGTGAGTGTGGGTGAGTGTGGGTGAGTGTGTGGTGAGAGTGTGGTGAGAGTGTGGTGAGTGGTGAGAGTGTGGTGTGGTGAGTGTGGTGAGAGTGTGGGTGAGTGGTGGGGGTGTGGTGAGGGTGTGGGTGAGAGTGTGGGTGAGAGTGTGGGTGTGGGTGAGTGGTGAGTGTGTGGTGAGTGGTGAGTGTGTGGGTGAGTGGTGGGGGTGTGGTGAGTGTGTGTGGTGAGGGTGGGTGAGTGTGGTGAGTGGTGAGTGTGGTGAGAGTGGTGAGTGTGTGGTGAGAGTGTGGGTGAGTGGTGGGGGTGGTGAGAGTGTGGTGAGTGGTGAGTGTGTGGTGAGGGTGTGGTGTGAGTGTGGGTGAGTGTGGGTGAGTGGTGAGTGTGTGGTGAGGGTGTGGTGAGAGTGTGGGTGAGTGGTGGGGGTGGGGTGAGTGTGGTGAGTGGTGAGTGTGTGGTGAGGGTGTGGTGAGAGTGTGGGTGAGTGGTGAGTGGTGAGAGTGTGGGTGAGTGGTGGGGGTGTGGTGAGAGTGTGGGTGAGTGGTGAGTGGTGAGAGTGTGGGTGAGTGGTGGGGGTGTGGTGAGAGTGTGGGTGAGTGGTGAGTGGTGAGAGTGTGGGTGAGTGTGGGTGTGGGTGAGTGGTGGGGGTGTGGTGAGTGTGGTGAGAGTGGTGAGTGTGGTGAGAGTGTGGTGAGGGTGTGGCGAGTGTGGTGAGTGTGGTGAGTGTGGGTGAGAGTGTGGGTGAGTGGTGAGTGGTGAGAGTGTGGTGAGAGTGTGGGTGAGAGTGGTGAGTGTGGTGAGAGTGTGGTGAGAGTGTGGCGAGTGTGGTGAGTGTGGGTGAGTGTGGGTGAGTGTGGGTGAGTGTGGGTGAGTGGTGGGGGTGTGGTGAGAGTGTGGTGAGTGTGTGGGTGAGAGGGTGGGGGAGTGTGGTGAGAGTGTGGTGAGGGTGGTGAGTGTGTGGTCAGGGTGTGGTGTGAGTGTGGTGAGGGTGTGGTGGGGGTGTGGTGAGAGTGACAGAGTGAGTGAGTGGTGAGAGTGTGGTGAGGGTGGTGATTGTGGTGAGTGTGTGGTGAGGGTGTGGTGTGAGTGTGGGTGAGTGGTGGGGGTGTGGTGGGGGTGTGGTGAGAGTGACAGAGTGAGTGAGTGGTGAGAGTGTGGGTGAGTGAGTGAGAGAGAGTGTGGGTGAGTGAGTGTGTTGGTGAGTGAGTGAGTGAGTAGGTGAATGAGTGAGTGTGAGTGAGTGAGTGCGAGTGAGTGCGTTAGAGAGAGTATGGGTGGGTGAGTGAGTGAGAGTGAGTGAGTGAGTGCGAGAGAGAGAGAGAGTGTGGGTGAGTGAGTGTGTCGGTGAGTGAGTGAGAGAGAGTGTGGGTGAGTGTTTGTGTGTAGGTGAGTGAGTGAGTGTGTAGGTGAGTGAGTGAGTGAGTGTGAGAGAGAGAGAGTATGGGTGAGTGAGTGTGTAGATGAATGAGTGGGAGTGTGTGTGTAAGTGAGTGTGTAGGTGAGTGAGTGAGTGTGTAGGTGAGTGAGTGAGTGTGTAGGTGAGTGAGTGAGTGTGAGAGAGAGTATGGGCGAGTGAGTGTCTAGGTGAGTGAGTGTGAGAGAGAGTGTGGGTGAGTGTGGGTGAGTGTGAGAGTGAGTGTGTAGGTGAGTGTGTAGGTGAGTGAGTGTGAGAGAGAGTGTGGGTGAGTGAGTGTGTAGGTGGGTGAGTGAGAGAGAGTGTGGGTGAGTGAGTGTGTAGGTGGGTGAGTGAGAGAGAGTGTGGGTGAGTGTGAGAGTGAGTGTGTAGGTGAGTGAGTGAGAGCGAGTGAGAGAGAGTATGGGTGAGTGAGTAGGTGAGTGTGTAGGTGAGTGAGTAGGTGAGTGAGTGTAGGTGAGTGAGTGAGTGTGTAGGTGAGTGTGTAGGTGAGTGAGTGTGTGAGTAGGTGAGTATGTAGGTGAGTGAGTGTGTAGGTGAGTGTGTAGGTGAGTGAGTGAGTGTGTAGGTGAGTGAGTGAGTGTGTAGGTGAGTGAGTGAGTGTGTAGGTGAGTGAGTGTGTAGGTGAGTGAGTTTGTAAGTGAGTGAGTGAGTGTGAGAGAGAGAGAGTATTGGTGTGTGAGTGTGTTGGTGAGTGGTGGGGGTGTGGTGAGAGTGTGGGTGAGTGGTGAGTGGTGAGAGTGTGGGTGAGTGGTGGGGGTGTGGTGAGAGTGTGGGTGAGTGGTGAGTGGTGAGAGTGTGGGTGAGTGTGGGTGTGGGTGAGTGGTGGGGGTGTGGTGAGTGTGGTGAGAGTGGGTGAGTGGTGAGAGTGTGGTGAGTGTGTGGTGAGAGTGTGGTGAGTGTGGGTGAGAGTGTGGGTGAGTGTGGGTGTGGGTGAGTGGTGAGAGTGTGGTGAGAGTGTGGGTGAGAGTGGTGAGTGTGGTGAGAGTGTGGTGAGAGTGTGGCGAGTGTGGTGAGTGTGGTGAGTGTGGGTGAGAGTGTGGGTGAGTGTGGGTGTGGGTGAGTGGTGAGAGTGTGGTGAGAGTGTGGGTGAGAGTGGTGAGTGTGGTGAGAGTGTGGTGAGAGTGTGGCGAGTGTGGTGAGTGTGGGTGAGTGTGGGTGAGTGTGGGTGAGTGTGGGTGAGTGGTGGGGGTGTGGTGAGAGTGTGGTGAGTGTGTGGGTGAGAGTGTGGGTGAGTGTGGTGAGTGTGGTGAGAGTGTGGTGAGGGTGGTGAGTGTGTGGTCAGGGTGTGGTGTGAGTGTGGTGAGGGTGTGGTGGGGGTGTGGTGAGAGTGACAGAGTGAGTGAGTGGTGAGAGTGTGGTGAGGGTGGTGATTGTGGTGAGTGTGTGGTGAGGGTGTGGTGTGAGTGTGGGTGAGTGGTGGGGGTGTGGTGGGGGTGTGGTGGGGGTGTGGTGAGAGTGACAGAGTGAGTGAGTGGTGAGAGTGTGGGTGAGTGAGTGAGAGAGAGTGTGGGTGAGTGAGTGTGTTGGTGAGTGAGTGAGTGAGTAGGTGAATGAGTGAGTGTGAGTGAGTGAGTGCGAGTGAGTGCGTTAGAGAGAGTATGGGTGGGTGAGTGAGTGAGAGTGAGTGAGTGAGTGAGTGCGAGAGAGAGAGAGAGTGTGGGTGAGTGAGTGTGTCGGTGAGTGAGTGAGAGAGAGTGTGGGTGAGTGTTTGTGTGTAGGTGAGTGAGTGAGTGTGTAGGTGAGTGAGTGAGTGAGTGTGAGAGAGAGAGAGTATGGGTGAGTGAGTGTGTAGATGAGTGAGTGGGAGTGTGTGTGTAAGTGAGTGTGTAGGTGAGTGAGTGAGTGTGTAGGTGAGTGAGTGAGTGTGTAGGTGAGTGAGTGAGTGTGAGAGAGAGTATGGGCGAGTGAGTGTCTAGGTGAGTGAGTGTGAGAGAGAGTGTGGGTGAGTGTGGGTGAGTGTGAGAGTGAGTGTGTAGGTGAGTGTGTAGGTGAGTGAGTGTGAGAGAGAGTGTGGGTGAGTGAGTGTGTAGGTGGGTGAGTGAGAGAGAGTGTGGGTGAGTGAGTGTGTAGGTGGGTGAGTGAGAGAGAGTGTGGGTGAGTGTGAGAGTGAGTGTGTAGGTGAGTGAGTGAGAGCGAGTGAGAGAGAGTATGGGTGAGTGAGTAGGTGAGTGTGTAGGTGAGTGAGTAGGTGAGTGAGTGTAGGTGAGTGAGTGAGTGTGTAGGTGAGTGTGTAGGTGAGTGAGTGTGTGAGTAGGTGAGTGTGTAGGTGAGTGAGTGTGTAGGTGAGTGTGTAGGTGAGTGAGTGAGTGTGTAGGTGAGTGAGTGAGTGTGTAGGTGAGTGAGTGAGTGTGTAGGTGAGTGAGTGTGTAGGTGAGTGAGTTTGTAAGTGAGTGAGTGAGTGTGAGAGAGAGAGAGTATTGGTGTGTGAGTGTGTTGGTGAGTGGTGGGGGTGTGGTGAGAGTGTGGGTGAGTGGTGAGTGGTGAGAGTGTGGGTGAGTGGTGGGTGTGTGGTGAGAGTGTGGGTGAGGGTGTGGGTGAGTGGTGAGTGGTGAGAGTGTGGGTGAGAGTGTGGGTGTGGGTGAGTGGTGGGGGTGTGGTGAGTGTGGTGAGAGTGGGTGAGTGGTGAGAGTGTGGTGAGTGTGTGGTGAGAGTGTGGTGAGTGTGGGTGAGAGTGTGGGTGAGTGTGGGTGTGGGTGAGTGGTGAGAGTGTGGTGAGAGTGTGGGTGAGAGTGGTGAGTGTGGTGAGAGTGTGGCGAGTGTGGTGAGTGTGGTGAGTGTGGGTGAGAGTGTGGGTGAGTGTGGGTGTGGGTGAGTGGTGAGAGTGTGGTGAGAGTGTGGGTGAGAGTGGTGAGTGTGGTGAGAGTGTGGTGAGAGTGTGGCGAGTGTGGTGAGTGTGGGTGAGTGTGGGTGAGTGTGGGTGAGTGTGGGTGAGTGGTGGGGGTGTGGTGAGAGTGTGGTGAGTGTGTGGGTGAGAGTGTGGGTGAGTGTGGTGAGTGTGGTGAGAGTGTGGTGAGGGTGGTGAGTGTGTGGTCAGGGTGTGGTGTGAGTGTGGTGAGGGTGTGGTGGGGGTGTGGTGAGAGTGATAGAGTGAGTGAGTGGTGAGAGTGTGGTGAGGGTGGTGATTGTGGTGAGTGTGTAGTGAGGGTGTGGTGTGAGTGTGGGTGAGTGGTGGGGG